AAGAAAAAAAAAGGGGGTATTACAATCATAAATTATTTTGCTCATCATAAGACGTCATATATTGTTGAACATTGTAATAATAGAAAACAAAAAAACAAAAAAATGCATGAAACTATATATAAAAAAAATAATAATAAAATAAATAAATAAATAAAAAATAAATAACAAAGGTAACATAAATTCATTTGGATTGGCACAAGACTGGTATAAAAAATCAAATGCTTCCTTTAAAGTGAAAAATAGAGATCTAAATCGTCAATGTTCATCACAAATTGAAATAAAGCACGCTTAAAAGAAGAATATATTTTGATGTTTTGCAACTGAAATGGTAATTTATTATATAATTTAGGTGCTAAGTAAAAAAACTGTTTTCGTGAAATTTCTTTTGTAAAGAAGGGAATCTCATACATTTCAGTTGGTCTCCTTTCAGACACATTAGTTTTTAATTTGCATATTAATTTATTGTTGTGTAAATAGAGTAAAATACGAAAAAATACATTATGGCGAAATGGTAATAGGTTAATTCTTGTATATATATTGGTAGTAGTTACACTTGAATTATTTATATTTAGAGAATTAATAATCTTGAAGCATTTATTCTGAACTGAGATTAAGGGAAGTAAATTAGTTTTATATTCACCGCCATATATTATCGCACCATAATTAATTAAAGAATAAAACCAGGAGTAATAGAGTGCTTTCACAAAATTAAAATGAATTTTATTCTTAAGGTGATAAAATTTAACTAAAACGAAACGCAATTTTTTAACTAAATTGTTAATATGTGTTTTCCATTTTAAATTAGAATCGATATATAGTCCTAAATATTTGATATTATTTACAGATTGTAGAATATAGCATTGACAATTTTCATTAGTACTTTTGCAGGAGAGAGAGTGAAATTTTAAATTTAAGTTAAATTCTGATTTTCTTAAACTGAAATAAATATATTTAGTTTTATTTAGATTTAAATTTAAGTCATTTATTGTAAACCATTTTGAAATTATGCGTAAATCAGATTGAATTTGAAAAATTAGTTGATTTAAATCAGTGCAAGAATACAAAATTACGGAATCATCAGCATACGTTATTATCTTACCAAAAAGTTTGAGTTGACAAAAGTCATTGATGAATATAATAAACAATAAGGGTCCTAGAATAGATCCTTGAGGAACACCACGGTTTGAAAAAATATAATTACTAAAATTACTTCGGATTTTAACTCTATGTTCTCTGTTTGAAAGATATGAAACAAACCAATTTAACATAATTCCTCTGAAACCAGCAAATTCTAATTTTTTAATTAAAAGATTGTGATTGACATTATCGAAAGCTTTTGATATATCAAGAAATATAGCTACTGTTATCTTATTTTCAGCAATACTATTATGAATAAATTTTGAAAATTCCAAAAGAGCTTTTTCTGTACTTTTGCCTTTAATAAATCCATGTTGATTAACAGAGAAAAAATTTGTATGTTTTAAATAATTGTACATTTTATCAGCTAGAGCTTTTTCAATGATTTTGGAAAAAACAGGTAATATTGAAATTGGTCTATAGTTTGATAAGCAATTTTTATCGCCGGTTTTAAAAATAGGAGTTATGGTTGCTCTTTTTAAAGAACCGCAATTATTGACCGCATTGACCGCAATTATTTAAGAATTTGCTTTTTTTCTTACAATGTTGGCACCGAAATCTAACATTGTATTTAAATGGCCCGGAGCAAATAGGTAAAACTCTTGTAGAGTCCATTTTCGAACTGCCCCCCTTAACAATCAAATTGCCCCCCCCCAGTGGGGCGTGGGCCCCACGTTGGGAAACACTGGTCTATAGTTTGATAAGCAATTTTTATCGCCGGTTTTAAAAATAGGAGTTATGGTTGCTCTTTTTAAAGAAGTTGGAAAAGTGGATGACTTGATTGAGGTATTGATGAAATTAGTTATAAAATTTATATTATTGAGAGCAAATAGTTTAATTAATTTTACATTAATACCATCATAGTCAAAGGAGTTTTTATTAGAAAGAGAATTTATTAAGTAAAGTACATCACAATCATTCAATTCTAGGAAAACGAACGAGGTTAAACTTGGTGAAATATATATTTTAAAACTGTTTGAATTTGGGTTTGAGGTACTGTTAGCCACTGGCGTCGGAACCATAGGGGTCCAAGGGGTCCGGACACCCCAATGATTGGGAAGCCAGGGTCCATTATTTTGAGAAATTATTTTTGTTTTGTTTCCATAACTTTTAATTTTTTTTCTCTCCTTCTTATTTTGACATAGTGCAACTTATTATATTACATAATTAAAAGAAAATTAGTAAAAAGTAAAATACACACAAAAAATGCACTGTATAAAAAAATAAAACAGGTGTTTAGAGAACTACAAGAAATGTCACTGCTACCCTTTACTTCAATAAGCAATAAAACACTCTTCCCACCATTCCTTTTCTTCTCACTGTTAACTGATAAAGATGATTCTCCCTCAACATCACACACGTAGTCATTTGATACCTCAAAAATAGCCGCCTTATGGGAAAGGATATGGGAAAATGGTCTTAGCATTTTAAAATTACCCTTTTCGTATTTATGGCCCTGGGCTCTTTTGTCCTCTTTTTTTTAAAGTGTCAAATATCAGCAGACCCCTATAACCTATTCATAAATTGTCTCAAACAGGCAATTATCTAGGGAGATTCTTGTAGATATTTTTTTTTGGTGGTTTTGTCAAGAAAATTTCTCTGACATACAATCATTCTAAATCTTCTCTTACGTATAAGCGCTCACAGTGTAATTCCATCATTATTAAAATTAACTGGAAATTTTGTGAAATATAAATAATTCTGTTTACTTTTATATTCTGTTTCATTAATTGTTTTAACTTAAATTATTAGTTGTTATTTTTTTTAAATAAAGTTTTTCGTTGGATAACAAGAAGTCGTTAAATATATTCTGGGGAGGTAAACAAATGTTTGTATTAAATCACTTAATACATTTATAATTGTATGTTTATGTACTGCAAGAATTGTTTTATAGTTTGTATATTAAATTTATTTCTATAGTA